ATCATCATAGCTTGGGACTTTATGTTGTTGACCATAAGATAATTACGAGAAAGCCAAGACAGGAGGATGTCAATATCATGGTTCAGGGAAATTTCCAAGAAAGTGATATCGTGATGAGATCGATAAGTTGTCGTATCATCGGCATATAGACGCAAGGAAGCGATCTGGCCAGCAAAGTTTAAGTCATTCATATATATATTAAAAAATAAGGGACCGAGAAGACTACCTTGAGGCACACCACATTGAACGGGAAGCCAATCAGAGAATTTGCAATTAAATTTAACTCTTTGCTGTCGCTCGGTTAAGTATGACTGGACGAATCTGAGGGCGTCATCATTCAGACCATAAGCACGCAGCTTGGCTAGGAGTAAACTGTGACACACAGAATCAAAAGCTTTGGAAAGGTCAATGGCAATAGTTCCAGTGACTTTCTTAGAATCCAGGGCTAGTCTCCAGTCGTCCACCATTTTTAGAAGAGCAGTGCAACATGAGTGCCCACTTAAGAATCCAGACATATTGAGAGAGAAGTGGGTCTTGAAAGCATCATAGAGCTGATCATACATAACTTTCTCAAGAATCTTGGGAATGGACGACAAGATACTGATTGGTCTGTAGTTTTCCACAAGAGAGCTATCATCCTTTTTATAGGCTGGAGTAACATTACTTAATTTCCATTCCTGTGGCCACGTTGAGTTAGCAAGGCTGTAATTAAGGAGCTTAGTCAAAGGCCCTTTGATTGTTGACGCAGATAGCTTAAGAATCATGGGAGTGATATTGTCAGGTCCACAAGACTTGTTTGTTTTCAGGCCAGTAAGCAATTTACCAATGTATTCCGTACTGACAGGTTGAAATGAAAATCCAAGATTGAAATTGCGCGACGAGATTGAAGTCACACTTGGATGATGTTCGAAATCTTCAACAGACTTAGTCAAAACAGTTCGATCAAGAACAGGTGAAGAGAAGTGTTTATTGAAAAGATTTGATGGATCACTAACAACTGCACCTCTAACCATTACGCATGTGCCATCGCTGTTATCTTGTCCAGAAGACGGTAGAAGAGGCTTTACCCGCTTCCAAAAATCTCCAGGAGTTGTTGCGTTAGCTGATGTTAGGGTGTAAAGGGTTAATGAGCCCATTAACACAATGACAAGTCGCTTTTGACTATAAAGGTGTCTAACGGGAATCAAGTGAAATGAGTTAGCAGTCCAGTGCTTGCCACAAGCCTATGCATGCTATGTTGCGATACAGAGTTTAAATATCAGATTAACAACAAAAAGCGACCATCGCGGTATGACCTTTGATTTTTCTCAGCCCCTCCTCGAGTTAATCCTTTGAGCAGACAAACAAAAATCATGGTAAATCATACCCTATGAACTTTTTTGCTCGCCCTTTGTCGTGAACGTCATACTAAGCACTTTTATTTCGAGGCTGTAGTGCGTTTGAGGGACTACTCCTCAACAACCTTAAGTTTGTCGAGGAATTCTCTGGTGAGTCTCAGAACACAGCCAAATAACGGGAATGAAGTTACTGGCGCTATTGTTGTAAGGATCCATGTGTCCTTAGCTAAGTCAAAACATTCCACACTCGGTTCAGTTTGACCCCTTATCATTTCTTCTACGGAGGAGGTTCATTTCTACGGAGGAAGCGGATTTCTACAGAGGAGGCTCACTTTTAAGCAACAGGCTTACATTTGTATGGAAAAAGAGAACAATTGCAAAGAGAAAGCGAGGTTTTAATTAGAAACATGTTTGTTTTACAATGTGCAGCAGTGGCACCTGTGGGCCACCGTAGAAACCTCTGTCTCACACACGCTCGCCAAAATCGCTCGAAAAACACTCTTAAATACTTTCCCATGAATCGAAACTTGGCAGCACGAAAGCCAAATAGTTGCCATTCAAGTTCATCAAAACAAATCCCACAAAAGTTGGGTTGTCGAGCAACCAGCCCAGCGAAAATCTCAAATTGACCGCCATTTCAACGCCGTTAGAACTGACGCGCGTCCGTCAAAACCTGTGCAGTCAAAAGTTCGTTACCACGCGGTCAGCCTGGACACTAGCAAAAATTAGGCCCAACGGGTAGCCCCACGATATGAATTATTAGTCAGAAATAAATACCAACCCACAAGTGGAGGGAATATTTCGCTAAATGGCTTGCTGTTTAGCTAAACATTGGCCACAGCAAAAGTAATCAAAGCGAATTTCGTCCTTCCGCCAACAAGGCCGCAAGTTAAAGCGGTTAAAACAACAGCGGCTAAACAACAGCGGCTTCGATTTAGGGGAGATATTGACCCGAGAAATCGTTTTAATTGGGGTCAGGTCATCCATCCTGAGTTATGAATTATCCAGTAATTCGAAAACTGTCTATTTTACATACGAGCCGTCCATGACGTCATTGCAGTCATTTCCCGCCAACAATATGCAAATTAATTCGAATCCATGCAGGCGCGACAAGTCGTCTCCTCGCTACTTCGTCGCTCGTTTTTCTCAAAGACGAGCATAAAAAGACGACTTGGGGCAAGTCTAAGCTTATCGCGAAATATACTTTGACTACAACAAATTCTCTTTACCGTAGAAACTGGACATCTGCTTTCATGTGAAATTCACAACCGCAATAAGAAAAAGGTAAAAGGAGTTGTAACTAGATAAGACAGCCAAAAGGTATAGGAAATAATCAACCTGTTTATTAAAAATTTTGTATCGAATGGCTTACTGAGTGACACAATATTTCCATTCCTTTTTCCCAACATCAATATAAGGAAACCCTTACAATATTTCAGATTAGATAAAGTTCTAGTTTTATCTTTACACTGAGTATTCCACATCACCTTAAATACTGTGAGGAATCTCTCGTCGACAACAATAGTATTTGGTAAAAGATGGAAGACTTACAGCCAATGTCAGCGGATGAACAAACTACTTTCTGTGCAGAATTGATGAAGCGCCTGAACATTCAGCGAAAACAAGATTATTTGTGCGACATTACTTTGGTGACTGAACGACGACAGAGAGTTAAAGGCTCACAGAAATGTTCTTTCCGCCGCAAGTCTGTTCTTTTGCAAGCTTCTTCATAGCGATATGAAGGAGGCTCGAGAGGGAGTTATTAAATTTGAGGAGATCTCAGGATCTGTTATGGAAGATGTTTTGGAATTCATCTACACTGGAACTGTGAAAGTAACCCAGGAGAATGCTAAGGAACTGATCGCCACAGGGAATTATCTGATCATACCGAGCTTGAAAACTGTTTCTGGTCGATTTTTACAAGGAGAAATATCAAATACAAATTGCATCTCGACCTTTTATTTCGCTGAGAAATACGACTGTGTCGAACTTATTGCCAACAGCAGGAAATTCATCCACGAAAATTTCGCCTCCGTAGGAGAAATAGATGAATTTTTGAGCTTGGAGGCTAAGGAGGTGGCGAGGTGGATTTCAAATGACGAGATTATCGTGAAAGCGGATGCCAGCGTCTTCAAGATAATACTTAAATGGGTTGAACACAAGCGAGCGAAAAGCAGCATTTGAAGAATTGTTTCGTCACGTTAGACTGAGTTTTCTGTCGCGTGACTGTTTGGAGGATGTCGTGACAAACGAACTGGTGCGTGAGAACTTTGCCTGTGTGAAGATGGTCATGGATGCCACCGTAAGGATGGCTACTTTTGCGAGTGAAGACGATCTCCCGCAGTCACCAAGAAGAGGTCTGGAAACACGTGTTATTCTAGCATGTGCTGGCAAGTACACTTTTTGTTATCTCCCAGAAAAAAACCAGTGGAAACGGCTGCCGGATGGGTCAACCGTGAGAGACCACAAAACACAAATGCTTACATTCCGTGATCAGCTGTACACATTTCAGGAGTTCAGTAAGGCAGAGAAGTATGATCCCGTATTTAATGGCTGGTCAAAGTCGGATCAGATTGACGTATCGGTAGATGGCGCCATTGTCACCGTTGTCAAAGGGGATATGTACGCCATTGAAGTTAACAAACCTGTTGGAAAGTCTACTATGAAGAGATACAATGTGGAGCTTTGTACATGGCAAACAGTTGTGGAATAACCCCAAGGCTGTAGAAACGATTCTTGTGTGGTTGCAGTTGGTAGCTATCTGTATCTTTTAGGTGGATCAGCCCCTGGCAATGCTCAGTACCTCGCTAAAGCTGAGAGATTCAACACTGTGAAAAACCAATGGGATGAAATCGCAGACATGCAGCAGGGAAGAGGTGGGGCCTTTGGAGAGGCTTCTGGAGGAAAGATTTTTGTTGCAGGAGGCTTCAACCAAGAGGGGAACGTGTCAGAAAAATGCGAGATGTACAACGTCTCTACAAACGAATGGCATTACATTGAAAGCTTGAACCATGGGCGTGTTTACGGTAGCATGGTGTGCCTGAAGGAAACACTGTACGTACTGGGTGGCAGTGAAGGCAGTTTGTGGGCAGTTGAAAGCTATGACTCGACAAAAGGCAGGTGGATTGCGAAGACAGTCCTACCGATGGCATGGCTCAGTAACAACACTGCGAACACATTCACTTGCTGTGTACTTAAGATCTCCAGAGGAGTAATGGACAAAGCTGAGCTTGCCCCCCACCTGACCAGTGTCTCACCACTTGGAGGCCTTTTTGGTGCTCAGCATTCTCAAACAGTATCTTACCCTGGGTTCCTCGGTTCTGTTTTACAGTCCCAACCAGTCACAGGTTTTGGTGCCTCGCGCTCTGGGCTCTTCGATTCTGCTCCGCAGTCCCAATCAGTCACTGGTTTTAGTTTCTCGCTGTCTCAATCAGTATCTAACCAGCCTGCAAGCTTCGCTCCTGGTACCACTAGGGGCCGCGTCGCTACTCGCCGATCCTAACTAGTACCTACCACTGGAAGCATTTGAAGTACTCCAAAGTCTCATGGGACCTTTCTGCGCTCTTTTTCCAGCTGAATTTCGTGACTGTATTTGAATAGGCCAAGGACGTCTTTATCAAGTTTGCTAAGACATACAATTCCTTTCTCTTGACGTCCAAGGGAACACTAAATCTCAGTTGCTTTAGCGAGTTCTTGAATCTGTCATATCTCCAGTGTTTACTTCATAGATAAAAGAGAAGATAGACAAGGAACAAATTAAATTTCAGCCATTCGGTGGGGCATTCTTCGCGTCTCGGTGTTAAGATTTTACAACTGTTATCGAAAGGATAACGTAACCAACACGTAGAATTTTCAAAATCACCAGTCGTGTTCAGTAGTACACAGATTAATCACAGATTTGACAATTATGAAAAGTTTCGACAAAATTAAAGGCGCATGCGCAGTTACTATTCCAGTTGAATATCATTAGACAGTTGCCCATAGCTAAAAGTTTCTTTCTTGTTAACATTTAGGTACCAAGGAACTATTAATAAAAACCTAGCAATGTCTTAAAGAACTTTGAATCTTGATCAACTTAAGACTGTAAGGTGTGAGAACAATGAGTTTTTTTAAGATTTGGTAATAAGGTGTGAGAACAATCAGTTTTTTTAAGATACGTATATTTGTTTCACAATGATTAAAGGCAAGAAGCATGACAGGTGTTGATTGGTTGAAAAATTTCGCAGTTTGTTGAGTGAATACACAGTACTTCGTGAGTAATAAGTAAAATAAAGTTTGTGAAATCTCAAGGTGGTGTGTTTTTGCTGTTGAACAAGTTCCTGAACATAACACTCATTCGTTTATGTGCAGTGGCTGATTCAGACCTTGAGCTAAGGGGGGTCCAGGTTTTTTTGGTATATGTACACCTGCCGGCTTTTCTTCCTTCTGCGTTTATTTTTTTAACCCAAAATAATGGAGGGGGTTGGGGCAGGCCCCTCTCCTAGATCCGCCACTGATGTGGAGCAACTCTACCTTTTACAGAAAATCTTTACCCAATTTTTCCGCTTTGATTTGCCTCAATGATTTCAGCAACCATCCTGGCGTGAATTGGCAGTATGTTAGCATTGTTGATAATACTTGTTATCACGGCCAAATACAAGGGCTTTGATCTTCAGAGTCCTCGTGTATGTGCAGCCTTCCTATCAACCATTTTTTGGAATGTCACACAATTCTCTCACCTAGGAATGGAGAGAAATGCTTTGTGTGACATTCTGAGAACCCAGACGCGAAATCGAATGGTCTGCTAGTTATTTTCAGCCCAAAAATGAATATACAGATTTGTAAGAGCTCATACAATAAAAACCACTTATGGATTAGATCATTCCTTTACTACTTGTAGAGTGGTCTTCAAATCAGATTTTAACAGCAGGTCGAATAGCCAAATAAATAAGTTAACTATCGCGATTTTAAGCTCTGGTGGTTTTGCCCTGATGGTTTTTCGTCTGTGAAAAAGTAGAAGGGATCTTTGTTAGACTAAACATACCACTCACCGGGCCAAACAAGTTCTTTTCCCGGGAAAAATGCAACCCGTGCCGTCAAGCGTGGGAAAACAGAGGACTAAAAAATCACACTGGTTGCTCCTGATTGGTTAGAGTGCCCCGAGTCTGAACTCTGATTCGCTAACGAACACAATCAATGGTTTTAAATACCATGAAGAAAAATTATTAAAAGCAAAAGTAAAGTAAACACATCAATACTTTCGAGAAAATACAAAATTTAAAATAAATATCAGGGTGAGAGGTTGGAAGTTATTTTCCAAGAGACTGAATCAGCAGTTTGGTGATGTCCTCCAGTTGTTCCGACACGTTTTGCTTCAAAGGCCGATAGTCGCTCTCCATGCTTTTCGTAGCTATAACTGAGTGAACTCAAGGAAATGTCGCAGTACAGTTAATTTATATCAAAACGTTACCTATTTCTCAAAATTTCGAGGGCATCCCTGAAAGTAAAGCATTTTAGTGCTTGCATTAAATAAAAACGCTTTACCAAAATAATGCCTTTCAGCTGCTTTCAGACTACCTTCCATTACATGGTCCCACACTTGAGCTTATCCATAGGTAGTTAAATTTAAAGAGTACAGCGTGAGTAAATTTTTTCTTTTTATTTGATCAGATAAAATAGGATACACTCCTTCATGACGAAGTAGTTTTGTTCATGATGCTGCCATTTTCTTTCTAAGTTTCCTAGCTGTAACGAAATTAAAAGACAGGAGTCATAACACGAACAACACAAAAGAGCTCATGGTGGATCCTGGTACAAGCGATAATGATGAAATGTTGGTAAAGTTTGTCAGTGACAGGTAGTACCTGAGAATGTGTCTCGTTTTCCATGAATTTACTCTTCGTAGCATCATAAAATGAAGACAGGCTTTGAACGTCTGAAATGGTTAAAACAGAATATAGAATCAAGCTGCATTTGAATCGATTAAGAGGTAAATTATGGGATAAAATGACGTTTTTTTTTAGAATAACCCAACTCTGTGGAAGCTGTTCTGAGCGGCCAGCCTGTATTTAAGTTATCACCCTGCAATTACATGTGGGTGACTACTCAATTCAGGTTCCGCAGTAGACAGATAAAAAATTGAAAAATAGGGAACTGAAAACGAAAGATCGATACATCAAGAAAGAACGATGAAACGAGATCACAAATATATGAACCAAGGAATAATACAACGACCAAACGAAAGAACGAAAAAACACGCAAGTCAACATTGACATGAATGGCAAAAAAGCAAGATGAAAACACCAATGGATAAATGAACAAACAGCTAAAACAATCCAAAGATTGAATAACAAAGGAATTTAAAAGGAGACGTATGAACGATTGCCTCAACTTACGCTTTTTGAATGTTTCTTTCCTTGCGGATAGTGTCTTCTTTTCTTTATGCAAACGCTATTAACAGACAAAAAGTGCACAATATTTGTTAGTTTTTAAGATAAAGTTTGACGTGAGTCTTTCCGCTTTTTAATTAAAACATTGTTTAGCCCAGGCAATTAAGTTAAGTCACAGCTTTGAAGATGGAAAGCTTACCGTTTTTTTCTCCTCTGACTGGTCTGTTAGGGCATCCAGGTCGCTGAATGTTTCAAGTTCCTAAAATGAGTATGAAGTATAAGCCTATGATGTACATGAGGGACTGGCTGAACAGAAAAAAAGATGGAACAAAGAAACAGAAGCACCAAAATGCTGGCAGGAAACAGAAGAACGAAAACTCAACGAAACAAATGAACAAACTATAGCTCTGGGCCGAGTTGAAATGAAAATGAAATGACCTTTATTAGGGCTACAAGAAGGCTTTTCAGTCCTAATTTACACAAATGCATTGGTTATTGTCTACAATAGGAAAACTACCTATCAATCCTAATTTACAAATGAATATTAAATATTATCTACAATAAAAGGGCGTTCAGTCCTAATTTGTAAATATATAGCAATCATCGTACAATGATACAATTAACTATTTGAAAAATATTGTAGCGAAAGCCGAAACCGTGTACCTCCCTGTTAGAACGAAATGTGTTACTTTCGTCACCACCCCCCTCGGGGTGGTTGTTGTTGTTGTGTGTGTGTGTGTGTGTGTGTGTGTNGTTGAACTTGGTTTTATAACCATCAACTGTAATGCCTTCATTTCAAAAGTGTCTACTCCTCCACTGGGTGACCTGGGAGTGGCATCTCTGAGGGTGAATGAGTCTGTACCCCCCAAAGTACTCCCATGTCGTAAAGTACCATTAGCCATTGAAAATGATGTCAAACAGGAACTGGATCGGCTGGTAAGCAAAGGCGTATTGGAACCAGTTACTGAACCGACTGAATGGGTCAGTCAAATGGCTATCGTGCACAAAAACAACGGTAAGCTCCGGATCTGCATAGATCCTCAACCTCTGAACAGTACACTTCAACGTGAGCACTACCGACTACCTGTGTCAGATGACGTACTCCCTAAGCTCAAGAACGCCAAAGTCTTCCGCAAACTTGACGTCAAAGAGGCTTATTGGCATGTTCGACTTGATGAACAATCAAGTAAACTCACTACAATGATAACCCCATTTGGTAGATATCGATGGAAGAGGTTACCGTTTGGTCTAAAAGTATCAAGTGAAATCTTTCAACGGAAAATTGATGAAGCCCTGGAAGACTTGAATGGTGTCTTCAATATTGTTGATGACATTATCATCGTTGGTTGTGGTGCAACTGAATCCGAAGCACTCGCTGACAACAGCCAGAATCTCTCGAAGTGTATACAAAGATGTAACGAAAGGAACATTACACTCAATGAAGATAAGCAAGAAACTGGACTCAAAGATATTACGTTCCATGGTCACAAGATCACTAGCAATGGCATAGAAGTGGACAAAGCTAAAGTTAAGGCCATAGTTGATATGCCTGCTCCCACTGACGAAGAAGGCGTAAGACGTCTTTGTGGCATGGCTCAATACGTATCCAATTTCATTCCAAATCTTGCAGGTACGCGTGAACCACTGAGAAAGTTAACTCGCAAAAAATGCTTCATTTGTATAGTCCAAAGAATGCGAAGAAGCATTCGGCACTCTCAAGGAAAAGCTGTCTGAATCTGCATGCTTGGCTTATTTTGATCCTTCAAAGGAAATTGTAATCTAAGTCGACAGCAGCCAGCATGGCATAGGTGCAGTACTTCTTCAAGACGGACGTCCTATTAAGTATGCTTCACGTGCACTGACGATATCGGAGAGGAACTGGGCTCCGATTGAGAAGGAAGCTTTAGCCGTGCTGTACGGACTAGAGCGTTTCGATCAGTACACTTATGGTCGGGCAGTGACGGTAGTGAATGACCACAAACCCCTGTCTGCAATACTCCGCAAACCTCTGAGCACAGCCCCTAAACGCCTTCAAGACTTGATGATGCGCTACAATCGCTATGATGTCAACTTTGTGTTTGTGAAGGGATCTGAACTTCATCTAGCTGACACATTAAGCAGAGCTCGCCTCAACTCCAATGGTCACAATCACGACAACCGTGCCCGAATCATGAACGTCAACATATTCGGTAACATTCCTGATGCTCACCTGGAAGAAATACAGGAAGCAACGAAGAAAGACAATGGTCTACAAGATGTAATGGAACTAGTGATGAACGGATGGCCAGATGGAAAACGCAACGTTCCTCCCTCAGCATTGCCCTATTTTGACATCCGTGACACTCTATCTGCAGCTGATGGCGTACTCCTTAAAGGCGAAGCAATAGTCATCCCTCAATCTTTGAGGTCAAGAATAAGGAAGAGGCTACATAGCTCTCACCTCGGTGCNTTTGCAAGCTTCTGCAGAGCGACATGAAGGAGAATCGAGAAGGAATCGTTCGATTTGAGGAGATCTCAGGATCTGTTATGGAAGATATTTTGGAATTCGTCTACACAGGAACTGTGGAAGTAACTCAGGAGAATGCTAAGGAATTGATCGCCGCTGGGAACTACCTGATGATGCCGAGCTTGAAAACAGTTTCGGGGCGATTTTTGGATCAAGAAATGTCCATGTCTAACTGCATTTCAACTTTTTATTTTTGCTGAGAAATACGATTGTGGTGAGCTTATTGATAATAGTCAGGAATTCATCCTTTCAAACTTTTTGTCCGTAGCGACAATGCCTGAATTCTTACGCTTAGATGTTATAGAAACGGAACGGTGGCTATCAAGTGATGACATTGCGGTCGAAGTGGAAGCAGATGTTTTTAAGATAATTTTAAAGTGGATTGAACAGAATAAAAGTGAGCGGAAAGGAGTATTGGAAAAGTTGTTTCGTGACGTTCGAATGGACTTCTTATCGGGTGAGTACTTAATTGATGTCGTGACGAACGAATTTGTCCGAGAAAACTTTGTTTGTTTAAAGACTGCTCTGGATGCGTTGAAGAGGGCCACCTTTTCAGATGAAGATAGCCAACCTCAGTCACCGAGAAAAGGGTTCGAAACAAGCGCTATTGTGGCTTGTGGAAGCGGATACCTCTTTTGTTACCTTCCTGAGAAGAATGAGTGGAAGCTTTTAGCCGACATGCCCGACAGCAGCCCTGCGCTCCGGGAGACTGACCCCGTTGTTCAATGTCGTGGTCAGCAGTATGCTTTTCAAGCTGCTGACCCTGTGATGAGATATGATCCAGCTGTTAACAGTTGGTCTACACTGGACCTTTTCGTAGACGATGCTGACTAAGAGATGGTTGTCGTTAGAGGAGAAATTTATGCTGCGGGGATGCTTGATGGTGCAGACAAAACCACGGTCATAAGATATGATGTTGAGCTGTGTGCATGGGAAACAGTTCTCTTGTCTCACGATGGCTACAGAACTGATGCTTGTGTTGTTGCAGCTGGCAGACATGTCTATGTGATTGGTGGGGCGCCTTGGGAAGGTCAATTCGGTGCTAAAGCTGAAAGATTTGACACTGTGGAAAACACATGGGAGGAAATTGCCGATATGAAGGAAGAAAGAGGTGGTACTTTTGGAGTGGCCATGAAAGAAAAAATCTTTGTCGCTGGTGGAAGGCACAGAGAGAGAAACCCATTATTGCAAACATGTGAGATGTACAATAAATCAACGAATGAATGGCAACTTGTTGGGAGCTTGAATGCTCCTCGTGTATATGGCAACATGATTTGTCTCAACCAAAAATTGTATGTCCTTGGCGGAAAGAATGAACAAAATCAAGCTGAACTGAATATAGAATGTTTTGATCCAACAGAGGCAAAGTGGATTCAGAGGACAATCATACCAGTGATGAAGTTTAAGAAAGGAAATAAGAACACGTTCTGTGTGTACTGAAGCTTTCCAAAGGAGTGCTGGATAGACTCAGTGTTGTTGGGGAGAAGCCCCTTGGTTAATTTTTCCTTTGGAGATGACTCATTACAATTAGGTAGTTAACATATCAAAATTGGTTTAGCGTGATCTGTTCTCTTCAAGTCTGATCTTTTAAGTGCTTGTTTCTTCTG